CTAATACTTTTATAAATAATTTTATTTCTCTTTTTTTATATATTAGATAATAAATAAAATCTATATTTTAAAATCTATTAAATAAATAAAAGATATTTAGATATTTATAATTAATAATATATTATAATATAATATTTATTACTTTTATAAAATTATAATTAATATTAGAATTTCTAAATTCTTAATTACTAATTCTAACTAATTTTAAGCTTTATAATAAACTAATAATAATATTAAACTTAATAAACTATTAAAAATTAAATTAATATTTAGTTTAATATTAGATTTAGATTTTCTATTAGATTTATAATAATAAAAATACTAATTAAATAAATATAATTTTATATTATATTTATAAAGATTTTATTTTTATTTAATTTAATTAATATAAACAAATTAGAAATCTATTTTAATAATTTTACTAATAATTTTATTATTTCTATTAAATACTTTATATCTATAATATAATATTTTAGATATTTTTTTCTATTTTAAAATACTATATTATAAAGCTTTATTTTCGAATTCTTTATTTATAACTTTTATTTTTTTATAAAAGTCGAATTATAATATCTATATTATTATTTTAGTTATTTATTTATTATTAAATTTCAAAATATATTAGAATAAACAGGCTATAATATTAATATAAAAGCTTTTAAATATTTTATAAAATATTATAAATAATACTAGAAATTTAAATAATTATTAAAATAATTTAAATTTAATCTAAAAAATAATATTAGTTTTAATTATTCTATTATTATTAATATTTTCTATATTTCTAATAGGCCTATATTCTATATTATTAATAAAGGTATTTAATATTAAGCTAGCTAATAGTTTTAAAATATTAGTATTTTATATATTTGAAATATCCTAAAATAATATTAGATTAATATTTATTTAGTTTCTTTTAATTAAATTATAATAGATATTAGAAAGTAATTTATTAATAAAAAGTTTATTTAATTTATAAATATTATAGAAACTAAAATTATTTTTATTTTTATAAAAGCTTATAATTTTATTAGAATTATAAAATATTATTATAATTTAATTTAATATATTTATTTTATTATTATACCCGAAATTAATAGAATTAATAAAAATATTATATTTTAAATAGCTTTTAAGACTATTAATAATTCTATAAAATTTAATAATATTATTTTAATTCTTTTAGTTTATAATATTTTATTATTAATTATATTATAATAATTAGTAATATTTAAAATAATAATAATAGAAATTCAGAAGCTTTAAGCTAAATATTAGATTATAAATATATTAAATACCTGAAATAGTTCTAATATTACTAATATTTATAAATTTCTTTTAAATTTAAATATTTTTATATAATATAAAAGAAATACTAATTAATCTAGTAATTATAATTATTAGTTTACTAGTAATATATGGCACTATTATATAAGTATGAAATACTATTTATATAAGGTTAGTGAAGTTATTATTATTTAGAAGTAAGGATTATAATATCGTGGTATTAATATACGATCTCTAAATCTGCTAAGCCTAATGGGAACTAGTCTACTAGTCGAGTCACGCCTGTAATACAAGCTCATATAACTAGTTATATAACCAGGAAATTCGCAGTATAGCTATTCCGATAATAATAAATTATATAAGCTAGTAGCTATTAATAAAAAGAACTATATACTAGCTCTATTATATAATAATACTATTTTCTATTTAAATTTTATAAAACTCTTTTATATAAAAGATATTAAGGTTATTATTAATAGCCCTAAATCTAAATCTATTTCTAAACTTTATAATAAAACTAAAAGCAATATAAATATAATAGAGAATACTTTTATAAGAACTCGAATATTATAGTATTTTTATAAAATAATAATTTATATAAGAATTCTCATTAAGTTAAAATTACTAGTTTTTTAGAAAAAATTTTATTTAAAATTATTTTTAAATTTTAAATATTAAAGAAAATATTTTTTTAATTTCTGGTTTATTAATAAGATTAAGAATAAAGATATAAAAAAAGAATTTAAGAAATTAAAACTAGTTATTTAAGCCTATAATAATAATAAGAAATATATAATATTAATATAATTATTTATTATTTAATATATTAGCTAGAGAATTATTATTAGTATTATTATTATAATAATAAATACTATAAAATTATATTTATATAATATTTTATAAGCTTATATTTAATTAATAATTTTATTTAATTATAATTTTTATATTAATTTGTTTTATAAATTTACTAGAGAACTAAATCTAAAAAATAATTCTATTTTAAAGATTATAAAACTATTATATAATATACTAGAAACTAGAAATTATTAGTTTAAGACTTATTATTTCTATTATATTAATAAGCTTTTTATAGAATAATTAACTTATAATTTTTATTTCTTTTATAATAAATAATTCTTTAGAATTATTAGCTTTTAAACTAATAATACTTTATTTATTAAAACTAATAATTTTATAAAAGTAAAATAATTAAAGTTTTAAAAAGTTAAGTTTTTAATTAAGAAATATAAATATTTTATTTTTAATTATAATTTCAAGTTTAATAAAAATATTATTTATATAAAAATTACTAGAATTACTTTTATATAAAAATAATAATATAAAAACCTCTAAACTATTTTTATAAAAAATACTATTATTATAAATAATAGAAATACTATTTATTAAAATCTCTTTATTAAAAACTAATATATTATCTAATATACTAAAAAAGTATATATTATATTAATCTATTAACTAGAAGCTTTATATAATTTATTAATTACTATTTAAACTATTAAACTTTTAGAAACTAATATAAAAATACTTAATAAATATATTTAATAATAAATTAAGAAAATTACTAGAAAATTAAGATTTATAAAACTAGTAAAAAAATTCTTATATTTAATTATTTTTATAAATACTTTATTTATAAATAATAGAAATCTCTTTTCTTAAATTAAATATATTCTAGTTCTAATAAATAGAACTAGATATATTAATATTATTTACTAGTTCTTTACTTAATATAAAAGAATTACTAAAAAATATTCTAGCTTTAAAATTTTATAATATAACTTATAGCTTTAATATAAATACTTTAATTAAATTTATAATTAATAAAATACTGGAAATAGAACTATTATTAATAGTTTATATAAATTTAAAGTTATTATATAAATGGTTTATTAAATTAGAAACTATTCGAGAAAAGTATTTAATAATTAATATAATATATTTTTATTAGATATATAAATAATAAGAAATTAAATAAATTAAAAGAAAATTGAATTCTACTAATTCTATAATAAAATTAAAGCTAATAAATACCCTTAAATATCTAATTAATATAAATATAATATAATTAAATATAGAGAAATAAATTAAATATATTTAAAATAAGAAATAGATATATAAAATAAGAAAATATTATAAAAAGAAAAGTTATATATAAAAGGCTATAGCCTTTAATATATAACTAAAACCTTAAATATAATATAAATATATAAAATATTTAGGAAATCCAATACTAGACCGGATTAGGAAATTTATATATAATTAAAGAAAAAATACTATTTTTTATATTTTTAAAAAAGTTCTAATATTAGTATAACTATAGCTATTATAAATTATATAATATAGTTATATAATTTTCTATTATATAAATAACTTAATAAATAAACTAGATCCTATTAGATTTAGTAAATTTAGGAATTATATATTAATATTATAATATTATATTTTTTATTTCTAAATAATAATAACTTTATTAATTTAATATAATTAGTATTTTATATTTATATAATAGTATTATATATTACTAATAAACTAATACTAATAAAGAAATTATTTATTATAATAGATTTATAAAAAGAAAAATAATTTATAAAAGTTATTATATTTAAAATAAAAATTTTATTTATAATAAGAAATTTAGGAAATAAAATATTGAGATTTTAAAAAAATTTAATAGTTTTAAAACTTAAAAGCTCTAGATATTTAAATTATTATAAAAAGAATAATTTTATAAGATAATTAAATAATTAAATAACTAATTATTTAATAATTAATAAAAAGTAGTATTTTTCTTTTTTTATAGAATTAAATTATAAATAAAAATATAAAATAATAGCTTTATTTCTAAGAAATTAAATCTTAAATAAATATAACTTAATTCTTTCTTTATTTAATTTATATATATAAACTATTACCTTAATTCCGCTATTATATTTAGCTTTAAATTATTTTTAAAAGAAATCTTTTATTTTGCTTTTTAAATTCTAAATATTATATATAATTAATAAAATCTTAATTTAAGTATAAAAAATCTTGTATTTCTTAAATAATATTTAAGTTATAGTTTATAATTAATATAACTAAAAATTAATTTAATTAAAAATATAATATAATTAATTTATAATTAGAACTCGAAGTAAAATTAGTAATATATTATAATGAGTCTTTATTAATATAATAGTATAACTATGTTTTATTTTCGTTTAAAGGCTATATATAATTATAATTCAGAAGCTAGGTTTATCTCGAAGACAAGTCGATGGGATTAATTGCATAGACTAAAGAAGAGAGTTAATCTCTGCTTTGCCTTAAGCAGAAACCCTGCCTAAGACTAGTATTTTAGTCTTTAACTTTCAATCAAGTTCCTACCCTCGGTTTTCGATTATAGCCAGAGCATCTCTGCTTCACTCTGCTAAAGTTTGCAAGCTCTGTCTAGTACACCTGTTGAATATTTTGAAACGATTCGAGCTCTATCGAATCGGTGTTACTCGAGTATAATGCAAAGCGCAACAGCGGCGAGGAGCGCGTCGAGGACACGATACTCCCTGCAGCTGCTTGGCACACTGCACGCATGGCATGCCATTAGACTCCAATTCAACTTTCGAATTGCTCCTTTTTGGATTTTGCTAATTTGCACAAGATGCAGTATCTACATGACGATGATTCGAACCAAACATCGAAATTCCAGTAGAGCTTCATTCTTTCGTGATTACAATTGAACGTGTCTCAATCGATTCCCGTGGTGCAGCTCCTTGAGAAGCGTTCGGGTTGACGAAAGACACATGTGGACAGACTACAAGTGTGGTTCAGCGTCTAAATCACCCTGGCCAGGACCCATCAAACTTACATCTGGCATGACTACCTGCCTTGGTGTCGTACATAACGAACGCCAGAGGCTCCGACGGGGTCTGCTTCTCCAACCAGAACCATCGGTGATTTGGGTTATAGGTAAGATAATATACCTCTCCAACCGCGTTGGGGATAATTCGATCTGCAGCAACCAGATCCTCGGGGTCGACTGAGCGACTGTCACACAAGGCGAGGGGGCGATCTTCAAGCAAAGGATTAAGTGTCCTCCATGTGCTGGTGCGGTCAGAGAAAGGCCCACTGAATCTGTTGCGAAGAGGTACCTACTTTACGATGCGGATACGATAACCAGGCCTCAGAAATTTCCGTTTGGCATCAGTCGATAGATATCGATTAATGACTATAGGACCAGACTCGTAAGTGATATCTAAGGGCGAAAATTAGTCCTTGACGAGTTAAGACACACCACAAGATGTTACCATTGTGAGCCCCGCGAGCCGGCCCTTCTGTAAGCAAAAGATCATTGAGGTCTAACGCATTGCGGACGAACGTGATATTCTTTCGCAGCCGAGAGTCGTAGCATTTTACGTGTACAGCACCCATTTTTTCTTCTAAAAGAGCTTCTGTTTCCTCTCTGTATTGTTCGACGTCACGCGCTCGGTCGAAGCGGGCAAACTCGCTTTGGTGCTGCAAGACTTCAAATCCGTAATTGTCGATTGTAACTTCCCGGCCGAGTTCCCGTATATCTTCAATTTTGATATCCAAGTGGTTTTCGAACTCTAGATTATCCACTCGTAGTGCATCGGGATCAAAACCTTCATGGGGAGGAAGGAAGCACCAGTAAGGCTTCTCCTCCTCATAAAGAGGCAGCTTTTGGAGGTACTCGAGAGTGGCCTGGACGGCAGGCATTGGGGCGATAGTAAAGCAGGTCGTGGAAAATGCAGAGGAAGCAAGCAATACGGTGCCTCTCTACCAGGTATGTCGTCAAACTTTCCTTTGGAGGCTCAAGCACTCCCGGTCCGAATGTTTGATGTGATAGGTTGCCGTTAAATGCTCGACGGATTCTCGTGATCAGCGTGAACCACGATCACATGAAATGAGATAATGGCAGCGGTCACGATCTTCCGCTTTTTGCTGTGGTTGAAAAAGTCTTCCTGGTGGTCAAGGCTGTTCCGTGGTGATGCCGCGCCGTGCCGTTCCACAACTCGAGGTGTCTTAGGCAGTCTTTGGCAAGGCAGACTCGGATCTGGCCACTATATTTCCTTGCTTCTCTCGATCGCGCGCATGCTTATGTTGGCAATATCGAGCTTCACGGGTTTTACCCTCTGGTGGGGAAGCTCCAGCCGCATCGATGCAGCTCTTATCTTATGGCAATGCAAGCCACGGGACTTGTGGCCAGTTCCAGCACTCGTACTGGAACCAGGTCCCGGAAGGCAGCATCCCCTTGGGTGCTTGCACATCCTGATATCGGGCATCGATACCCTTTCCCAGATTTCCCCTCCGGCGTAGTCGGGCGTCCTGTACGGAAAGCCGTAAGAACGCGATGTGCCAGCGAGAAACACAAAACCAGATCCCGCTTGTGCTTTCCCACGCTCAGCCTTCCCCCACGTCCACCACCACTCCCCCCCTCTCTAAGCCTCTGCTACTTCTTAAAATATTTTCTCTCTCTCTCTATTTTTTTTATCTATATAAGTATACGGGTAGGAAAGAGGGGCGTCGAGGGGGTTGAAAGTGAAGAGTAAAAAGTGGAAAGCGAGACGTATAAAGTGAGAAGTGGGAAACGGACTTTGAGAGCCTTATAGGCTACAGGGTGCGACACAGAGTTTTTGTGGCGTCAATCATGCAATGTAGTCCTTACGGCTTTCCGTAGTATTGGCGAGGCTTTCTGAAGATGAGGGGGTGGGGGGTCGCCGTTTCCATCGACTCGCATCCGTCCACCCAACCAATTGGATCCTGGACTTGGGCTTCAGCCTCGGATTTGCGGTGGTCAGTTGAGGAGGGTGCATGGAATCCCTGCTTCACATCGAATGCGGACTTTTAACACTTCATCGATCCCCGCCGTCGCTCTCGCTGCCAGCAACGACTGTGGCCGGATCTGCTGTTTGTGGCCCCAGCCTTGAGCCTTTTCCAGTCTTCGCAAAGTGTGGACTCTTTGAGGACTTGTCGAATCGCCACGTTCTCCAGCTCATATGCGATCAACCTTTGAATCCCGAGGGCGTGAAGAAATAGCTGCTGGAATTGCCGGATAGAGAAACGATCGCAGACATGGCGCTCGGTGATGGAGCCGTGGAGGTGACGACTGCGAGACTTGATGAATTTGTCTTCTCCGAAAAGGAGCCTCTTCGCAGGTTGGATGAATACGAGATTGATTTCGACGACGCACGCGATTTTTTCACTGGAAGATGGCAAGATATAGTGACCACAGCGACCGACAGGTTGACTGTATCAGGTAATTACGCTCTCCAAAAAGAAAAACTCCGAAACATCTAATTGACATGCTCTAGATCATCAAACTGCCTCCAAATACCATGACTGGCAAGATCTGGCCAGCGAGATTGCAGTAAAGCTTGCAGAAACACCATCTAATTCATTTGTCAAACGACATATGATCAAAATCCAGCCACTTCCCCATGTTCTCACAACTTTTACCAGAAAATTCTCCAACATTATGATTCCCTCAATAGTGGACTTTGAGTTGCTTTGGGGGCTGATCTATCTTAACTTGAAAGTAAGAAGCGAGCCGACTTTGTTGGAAATGCGTCAGTATGCTAATGCCTCTTAGTTGTCATACGGATTAGAAGAGACAATCAAACGGACGACTGATTTATTGCACTCGATACGGCGTCTGGTAGAACTTTTTACCAGATGTCTGGATGTTTGCGATAAGCAGAGCGAAGCAGAAGCTCGTATCGCCGCGATAGATTTCCTAGACCCTCTACTGTATGCACTGACAGATTCAATCGATTACCTTCATGGACCTTCCGAATGTAAGTAGCTTATTTGATTGCCTTCGTGAATATATTTGACTAAATGATCCTCGTAGCGAACCGGGGTTCATGGCCTGACTTGAAGGATAGCATCAGTGCCCAGCTTCGAACCATGGACTCGACAGTCAAGCATCTCAATGAAATTACGATCAATACCAGGGTCAATTTGGATCTCCAGGTTAAGAACATGAGCCAGAGATATGCTCTCACTGCAGAGCCTGACGAGCCTGGCACCTTCCCGAACAAAATCCTCCCATTTCAATTGAATCAGAATTTCTATGGACGGAAAGATGAGCTCGAAAAGATTTACGAACATCTCAAGCCTAAGAACGATAAATCTTACCGAACCTACACGATCTATGGTCGTCGCGGCGTTGGAAAGACTGAAATTGCCTTGCAGTTTGCTTATTCGAACCCTGCAGGCTACGATGCTGTGTTTTGGGTTCAGTGTGAGACATCAGTGGCTATTCGTCAAAGCTTCACAGACATTGCGGTGGCTTTAGAACTTCCAGGTGCACAAAAAGATGGCCATCACGAAGAAAACTTGATGGCGGTCAAAGAGTGGCTGAAGAGGACAAGTTCGAACCCCTAAGCGCATCCACTTCATCTCTATGTGCTAACATGTAGAACTTTAGAACGGCGGTGGCTTCTGATCTTCGACAACGCAGGTAGGTGCCGGGACGTCGGGACATCTCTGCAAGAAACTGACGGCCTACAGAGAATGCACTGATTCTCAAAGCGTACTGGCCCACCCAGGGGACCAGTGGTGCTATTCTTTTGACCTCGAGGAAGTATTATAACTTCCAAAATATGGGCAGAAAAGGTGACACGGTCAAACCCTTTGACAGCAAGCAAAGTTGGGAACTCCTCCTCCAACTTCTGGGGCCAGAGTGGCAACGGCAAGATCGCGAGATGAAAATCCCACAGTCCGAAATTACTGCTGCCAAAGCTATGCTCGCCATGCTTGAGGGATTAGCACTTGCTATTCAGCAAGCAGCAAATCTGATCAGAGATGACAATATTGGTGGTCCAACCATTTCCAGGACATTTGAAGTGTTCAAAGAAAGAATCCGAACCCTCCCAGAACGATACTCGAGTGCTCGATCAAGTGCAGAACGAGCATTGGACGCTCTTTGGGACATGAATTTCAGCTTGTTGTCAAAGAACGCAAAGGTTCTTCTGGGAGTTTTCGCATGGTTGCCACCGGGTTAGTTTAAAGCCCTAAGTGCAATATCTCTCCATTTGCTAATCATTCTGCAGATAAAATTCCAGTTGAATTGTTTCTTCCCACAGTTCAAAGCATATTGGATGGCCCACTGGAATTCTGCAAGCAAGATGCAAAGCACATCGATGAAAATAACCGGGTTGCACTTGCTGATGTGATCGATCCGTCTCCCCAGCTTTTGAAAGCTATCGAGGAGTTGCTGGAAAAATCACTTGTCAAACGAGATGGCCGAAATCTGAGTGTGCATCGAGTGGTGCAGGAGGCTACCACCTACGGAGACTTGAACGATCTCCAGACTTCATTCGACGCTACGACGAGACTTGTTCATTACCGATTTCCTAAGACAGAAATGGACGGATCACTGTTTTTAGAGTGGAGTATTTGTCAAGAGTACATTCCACACGGTGTTAATTTGAGCAAGAGGTTCACGGAACATACGAGGGCTGGGGCCCTCAAAGGCTCAGTAACACTCGTTGAATTGATGAGCAACTGCGCATGGTGAGTCTATCCTTCTTCCAGGCACCCATCTCGAACACAACTCATCTCCACAGGTATCTCCACGAGTTGGGCGATTACGAAGTCTCAGGGCAAGTCCTTGACACAGCAGTCTCAGCCTGCGAGAACAGAGATTCTTTGCTTTATGCCGAGCTTCGTAGCACGGCTGGATCCCGTTTCTACGATCTCAACAAACTTGGAGTTTGCCGAAAGGCTTGGGATGAGGCATTGGCTATCCGCAAATCGTTCCTCCCTCAAAACAATCCTAGTGGTGAGTAAATGCGAAAACGTCCGATCCATTGCTAAGCTTTGTAGTTGCTGCCATACAAAACAACCTTGGCAACGTCGAGTTGGCGACAGGAAATCCGGAAGACGCATTGCGCTGTTTCAACCTCGCAATCCCCATTTGGAAAGCTGGCGGCGATAAAACAGCCACCCATTTAGCACTTTCATATCTTTGCGTCGGACGAGTGTATATGTTTCAGGGCAAATTGACTGAAGCTTTGAGAATGACATCTCAATCTGATACGCTGTTTATGCGAACGACTGGAGGCGACAGAGGATTCATGGCCAAGTATTAACTTCAGTGTTTACATGAGCTGATCAATTTGCTAATCGACACTGTACAGCGTGCATTATGCATACGGCAATATCCACTTCAGACAGAAAAACTGGGCATATGCATTGCGCGACTATGAATCATGCCTGAAGATTGGTCTGGCAAGTATGCCTATTCATCCGATTACTGCAGCAGCATATTTTTCGATCGCTGGTGTCGAGCTGCAGCAAAAGAATATCGAAAACGCAAAGTAAGTTTGTCGGACGGGATCCAAATGCAAGACTGCTTACACCTAATAGAAACTATCTCAAGAAGGCACTCACCATTGCAGAGTTACGTAGTCCAAATCGTGACGATGGCCCCATAGCTCGAATTCTGTGGACCCAGGCAAAGGTTCTGGAGAGTGATACTTTCGGAAAATACCAGGAAGAAGCTGCGACTTTACGAAGACGAGCGGCTGCTGCCCAACAAGAGTTGCTTGCTGCCGGCGAAGGAGGAGAGATTCCAATTCTCAATGCTGATTACGCTGATCGGGATCTGGAGGAGGCCAGCTACGATGCTCTGGTTCCATTGTTCTATCGCTGAAAATGCATTTTATTCTTCTCGTCGACTTCAGGGGCGTTTACTTTGGAGTTGTCTATTTTATCTCATGAGAATGTGGTAGCGTCAAGCTCCGCAGAATATGTAGCGAAAATTCCAATTTTGTCAATTTGTATGTATTCATCTCAGCTTTTCCATAGACATTACCAGATGAACGAAAAAAACATCTATGATCCACTGACTGTCCCTGGCCCTTGTTGGAGTTGCTGCTTCGATAGAATTGTCTGCCAAATTTGAAACCCGAGAGAAACTACCATCAATAGAATCGTGAACGTAGCAAAAAACACGAGAAGCTGGAAACCAGTTAACTATAGGTACACAAACAGTGTTAGGCTGATCTTACCTGATTGTTCCATAGTGTAAACCATGCTCCTACGTCCCGTTTATCACCAAGGAGCGACCTCACAGTCTGTGGCTGGTGCTGTTTGTCAAATTGCTGCAGCTCTAACAAACGCTTACCAAAGAAGGGGAACGTGTCAGGGTTGCAGTAAGTCGTCTGCTCATTGAGATTTGTGTCTCGACGGCAATCTATCTCGTCGTATATTTTACGAGCTTCGGGAGATGTAGAACTCTGCCCACAGAGCACATGGAGTAAAGGATCACACGCTGAAATTGTTCTCCCTTGCCCTTGATCCTCTTCGACTTTGGTGAGCATCTTTGAGAAAGCTTTCCATGATCGCTCGTCTTGACCAAAGATTAAGCGGTATGAACGGAGGATCTCCTCGAATAATAGTGCGGTTGGGATGTCAGGTGTATTAACATCTTCACAAAACCTCTCAGCGTGGTCATTGAGAAGTCTAAGAGAATTATGAGCAGCTTTTCTATTACGCCTTCTGGTGACTTACCGAGAAAGCACATGATTTTTGTGATCACGCATCATCATTCGACAGAAGGAAGGATATTGAAACAATTTCAATGTCTTTCGTTCACTATCAAGCTCAAGATGTAAAGTCAGGGAGCTCACCCATTCAATTCTCAGTCCAGCAATCTGGTGAAGAAAATTGAAACAGATGGAGTGGACCATAATTACTTCGCTTTGCTGATTTCCGGATAGCCACTGCGGATGCAGTGGACGGATTCGAGGCATGGGTATCAAACAGCCAAAATGGTCTAGCATGGTGTCTAATGGCTGGGCTATGTACTCAAACCCTTGCTGAAACGAGGAATACTTTCTTGTGATAAGAGCATTTCTCAGGCCAGAAGAGCTTGTGGAAGTCTTCTTGACTTCTAAGCTGTCCGCTCCGGGATCCGGTACAGCCTCATAAAACATGGCTAGTCACAAGTCAGTTACCGCCCCAAATCAACACCGTTCAGGTTTATCTATGACTCACTAAGCCAGCCAAGGGCGGCAAAGACAATTTGGTTTGGTTTAGCTCGTTCGTCATCCAATTGAGGCTTCAGTAGGCTGTCATTGTCTAGTTGATCCACAAACTCCACCAGGGCAACGTTTTTCTTCACGCTGAGAAGTCGAGCCACTGCAAGTACAAAGTCGTAAACAACGACCAAGTCTCCCGGTTTTGGTTCCGAGGAATCGTCTACCAATCCCACGAGGGAGCGCGCCAGGAGATACCATGCCTCCTTGAATCTCATCTGAAGATGCCTCGAGTACCATTGACAGGCCTTTTGAAGCGAGCCTTTTTGCAGGTCGTCTCCTACGATGAAAGACATTAATCTTCCCTGACATTGGGACTCCTCATATGTCAGCTTCGGCAGATTTTCTGGCCCCGTCAGCGCTACCCATGGCTAGTAAGAACATATTGAGCAACATACCAAGCAATTGCGGCTCCACTGAAAGTGATATACCCGTCACAGTTGTATTCAAGGTGTACGGACGGCGGAATATTGGGGACGCGTCCTTGCAAGCTGTTCAGATTCCTGGGATTTCCAGAGTAAAGGATTGCACATACAACAATGAAGGTTTTCCAGCTGGATCTCCTTCGATTTGGGATTCCTCCCGGTTCGATATCATCCTCCATTCTTGTCAAAATAAGGGTTGAAAACAGCTGTGATCAAGATGTTGCGTTCAATGTATGTCTTCTTATAAAATTCTTATGTTTGTGTGAGCTCGGTTGCAAGGCTGTCCTGGGGGTGCTCAGCCTCCCCAAAATTTAGAACCAGCAGATAAAGAAAAGCGGTGAAAGATCACAAAATATGCCTGACTCTGGACTCTGGGGTTCCTTGGAGAGCGCCACGACTGATAGGCGGATTCTGAAATCCTATGTGTGTGGCATTTGACTGTGCAGCAATATATGCAGGCGGCACACCCACCCGCGTTAAGAGTTGCCTTGGGCGATGATGGGGGAGAGCCTGATGACTGCTGTTCTGCATTTGTGATGCATGTGACACCTGTTCAACCAACCACCTCCCGACACCTCATAAAGCCGCCGATAAGGCAGAATATGGTTGACAATGCAGTTACTGTTTGGGCTTCGTGCATTTAATCCTGCCCAAGCGCATCCTTGGGCTGATCAAGTCCAACGTCGACGTCTTTGGATCACGAGCTCAGCCTCACACCCATGAGTGTTGCAATTTGAGAGTATGAGTTTTGTGAATTCCGAGATTTGAAACTATGTACTATGATAAAAGTCTTTGAATGCCCTAATATTCACTAAACGAGCGTCCAGAACCGACACATGCTTCAGAAGGCCCAAAACCCAACTACTAAGATAAGAACATGCAAACCCTCCCACATGGATCCATACTCCCCCTCTTGATTGATGTACCCTTCAACCTCCAGTCTTCGCTGAGGCTCCCTTCTTTAAAGCCCACCGAGGTTATTGCTCCCTATAATTTGATCGCTGATCAGCGTTGTTTTCTCTCTGAGTTGAAGTGACCGGGAGTGAGAAAGACATATATCAGATGTTTCGATGGGTAAAAATGTACATAAGAAGAGGGTGACTTCTGAAAGTCAAGGCAAGGAACTCTTGAATCGTAAAGTAGAGATTGAGACGCACCATAAACGCAAATCTTTGGACAAGCAACTATAAGCTTTCCATCTTCGGAAGGGGCCTGAGGTCCAGGTCGCCAAACTCTTTTCCATGGCTGTGCCTTTTTCTCTGGTTGCGGGTCTGGGAATCCCCCAGAGCTAACAGAGCCGAAAAAAGACGTAACTTGCTGGGACAGTTGGGTTAAGGGCTCGTCAAACGCAGAATCTGGCGATCCTTGTCGAGTAGCTGGCCTGGAGCTTGAAGGCGTTGACGGGTCGTTTGATGGAGTATGTGGGGTCTAAAAGAGAGTCAACAATCTCTTCTGTGCCACTGCTTGGGTGTTGTACCATGGACCCTTCTGTGGTCTGCGTTGGGGTATGTTCTTGGACTTGCTTCAATGAGTCAGCTGTCGATGGTATCGCCATACCGGACTTCGAAGCCACTCCGAGCGTCAAATGTGGTTCACGGATGAATAATAGAACACACGTGATGTTCGTGCGAGAGAATAATGCCGCAGTCAGTCAGCATGTGAGGGGGTTGCTGTGCTGGTGTAGGGTCTCGCGATAGGAGGGTCCCAAGAAAGCCCTGTTTTCACGATGTCGTGGAGGATGGGTGAGATGTAGAGTGAGAAATCCACTGCGAAGAAGCCTGTTTAGAAATAGGCTTGATAGTCACCCCCATCGCTTAGTTTCGCTGGGGGTTACGGGGGTTGCATGCAGCGGCCTTCCTCCTTTGGTCACCGTCGCATACTCGGCCAGCTTTAAGGCGGCTGAGAGGGAGCTTTAGTACTTCAAGGGAGATCCTGCACCGAGTTGGATCAGTTGGAGCGGAGCACTCGCTGCCCCCCAAAGCTCAATCTGATTTCATAACCAGTATTTTTACGGTACTGAATGTTTACCTGCATAGGTGCGCCCTTTAACGGTCTAAGTCACCTGACATGCTTGTCGGGCTTTGAGATCGGATTTCCTGAACTTGACATCCGACAATCACGCAGCAGGGGCATTTCATGGATTGCTCAAAGCTGGGCATTGATATTCTGACCTAGGCTGGGGCGGCTCAGGGATACCAGTCTAGTCTTGAGACTAGATCATCAATCTCCATTTCGATAAAAGTCAGAATGGGATTGCACTTCATGATAGTGGGAGTTTTTAAATTTTTATTTTTATTTTTTATAATTTTTTTAAAAGAAAGTAGTGTCATACCTGGGAGTTTTGGTGGTGTTTAGTTTTGCTGGGTCAAGTGACCACCCCTGATCACCGCCCCTGGCCGCTTGCTGGGTGATCTTTTGTCAACGTCTGCAAATGGCCGGGCTGTATGCTCCGCGAACCAAGGCCTTGACATTTCGATATTCTCCGCAAAATTCATATTTTCAGGCAAAAGTCATGATTACTTCTCAATTGGACGCCCTAAACTGTTGTTGGGCAAATTCTCTCCTACGTGGATCGTTTTTAACCCCTCTCATATCTACCGAAAGCTTCTATTCGACGTCTGTTAGTCATGAGATATCCTACGAACATTTAGATTCATAGACTAGTGACTTGCTGGCGTTTGTTTGCTGATACTCCCCATTCTGCGAGACAATTGTCATGATTCCAGCGCTGTTGGTAACTTTGGTGGAGATTATGCCTCCGAGTCAGCCTAGTACGTGAGACCCCTGAGGTTCGGGTGGAACATCAACACTTGGGGACGCCGAGTAGCGGTAGTGATCGTTTCCGACGTCTGCATCCGGATATATCACCTAGAATGCCTCGGGCTGAGCCTGCTACATACAGTGTTGTGGTTGAGCTGTAAGTAACGATTGCGAGTGCGAGATCGTGGTGCTGCCGACAGGTCTCTCGAACTTTATCACCTTCCCATCTAGGAATTGAGTTCTGGAATAGTTCTCTGATGCCCAAGAGAAAGATCCCCGATGATTTCCGGCTTTGCATTTATATCATGCAGGCAGATTTTGTTGAGGAGGAGGGGTCGCCTGAGTTCAGCGACTGCTGAGTGGATGCGTCGCGTGAAGCAAGGTTAGAACGAGCAACCATTGAGCCAGAAATGTACTTGAAATGAATGGATTGTTTGCAGCACCAGCAACGCCATTATGATACGTTTGTCCTTCATATACACTCTTCTCTATAAATTGTGGTGGTGTCCCGCCGTTCAGCGTGTTTGCTTGACCCATCGAAGGGAACGTGCACTCACGCGACGTGGCGCCGCGTTTCACTGACACGTTACAGTATCAAACATTCCGACAACAATTTCCTTCGGCAAGCCCCCAAGACCTCACCTCCAACACCCCAGTCTTAGGAGCAATGCCGAAGAAGCTGAAGCCCTCGGCTCGAGCAGATCAGAGTTATGTCCCTTTGATATCTGCTCCCAAGCGACACAGCAACGGCAGACGAGATGTGGAGGCGGTGTGCAGCAAAAATTTGTTCTCGCTACTCAATTACTTTTGCTTCTTCGTCATCGGGTTGTCAATGATGTGGACATGGTACATAGATCCTCATTCACTTTCGATATCGGATATAACATTTGTTCTAACATTGTACAAGGTCCATGATCTTACAAGCCGTTCCTTTCTTTCATCGCCGCTTTCGAGAGAACCCATGGATTCTACAATACTTCCAGGCGTTCTACCTCGTCTTCTTTGCATTCACTATGCTGACCGTCACTCTCGTTCTCGGGTCGCGAAAGTCTCGACCTTCATACACCAGCTACCTCGGTTCAGCATTGATTGCATACTTCGTTGTAGCGACTCTTCTAATGCTCTCTACACTCCCATGCCTCAATATGGGGGCCAACATCTACTTTCTATTTACATTAGTGATGGTTGTTATCACAGCGGTTGCAAATGGGCTGAGCCAAAATGCTGCCTTTGCTTTCGCGGCAGGTTTTGGTCGAACTGAGTACGCCCCGGCGATCATGACTGGAGAAGCCCTTGCTGGACTCCTCCCTTCGAGCATAGGTATGCGAATATTCAGCCCCAACTCCCGTTGCTTTAACTAACTTCGGGAGAAATTGCATCAGCACTAGCCTTTCCCTCTGCGTACTTCGAAGTAGATGAAAATAACACCTCGCAAACCTATTACCTGACACTAAACTACTTTTTGTCAGCTGCAGTTGTTGGCTCAGCATCATTGTGTGCATTCAAGTTTCTTGTCCGCCGGGCACCAACTCATTTCCATCCCAAAACAACGAAGCGGACTTCTAACCGGACTCGGATGGCTTCCAAACTTCAATGGCCTGCCTTGGCTAACTTTATGTGTCTCTGCATCTCCTCAGTCTCTCCGGTATTCATCTCAAAGATCGTTTCGGTTGTCCCAGTTGAGAAAGCGTCGATAATATTCCGTCCAGAGGCATTTATACCTCTTGCGATTGTCCTCTGGAACGTCGGTGACCTCCTCGGATCCGTTATGGCTGTCCACTCACTTTTCCTCATCAAATACCCACGCCTGCTTTTCATACTCTCACTCTCTCGCCTTGTCTTTGTACCGCTCTACCTAATGTGCAATATTGATGGCCGTGGATCCGTAGCTGGCGACTGGTTCTACCTCATCATTGTCCAATTCCTCTTTGGATTGACACATGGCTGGCTTTCTGGTGCAAGCATGATGGGAGTGCCAGTTTGGATCAACGAAGAAGACAGAGAAGAGGCAGGTGCATTCATGGGGATGACATTAGTTGCAGGACTAGTGGCAGGGAGTATGCTCGGCCTTGCTGCTGCCCAGGCATGAAGTTAAATAGTGGAAAGCTGAGAGACCTTGCAGTGGACAGAAGATACGGTGCTGGTGAGTACACACTTCAAAGGCCGATCAAGCGCATAAGAGATATTTGAAGGGTGATAAGCTTGGATTGACTCGGCTGTATATACATTTCCTTTTCACTGTTGCAAAAAGGGGGAAAGAAGAAGCGGTGTGGTGAAATTTGCTTTGTTTTCCCTTTTCGTCTGGCTCTGCGTACCATTCGAACCGCATCACTGCGATATAGACATAGAGGATGAGTCCACAGCGGCGTTTTAAAATAATTCAACTGGCGTCTAGACATACATTCATTCTGGTTGGCGTGCTGTCCATCACCTCATTTTATTGCTTCTATTGAATGTAATATTCTTCAAATTGCTCGATTGCTGCCGTTGGAGGAAGCTATCGACAATTGAAACTCACTGGTTGTGTCTGTAAACAGACGTCAGACTTTCTTCATTTTCTCGTTTCTCCTTACTTCAGATTTCACCAATCAAAAAGAGGTGTTTGGTTGCCAGGTTCGACACCCTGCAGCGTGGCTGACGTTGCGACTCAGCTGCGGTGGCGCTAACGAGCCTGCGGACCAAAGTCTGTGTTTTTAGGGCATTTCGCTAAGAAACGAACCGGATAACTATTTTGGATGCTTTTCTTTTATATTCAAAATTAGTTATTAAGGCTTTCTAAATTCATTCTAGCTTCCTTTATCGTATGCTCTTGAATTATGCCAAGTTTCAATCTATAGCTGTTAAGAAATTGTGTAGTGAATGGGGCGACTTTAGTTTTGCAATACCTGAAAATATCGCTAAAATCACGGACTTTGGTCCGTAGGCTCGAAAGGCGAACATCACCCAGCCCTCAACTTCATCGTCCTCGCGAATCTTTGTTCCTTTAAGGTGACACGCACAGCAAATTCGTTCAATACGATACATTGACGGCTGTCCTGCCTTCTCTATAGCAAGATCAATTCTTTAGTTACCGAAACAACCCCCCCCCCAGCTGACCATTATTTTGAGTTCACAACTAGCTACCTTAAGCATCCACTCAGCGATCAACCCGTGAATCAAGATGGGTGAAGGATTGAGTTATCCATTTCAGGAGGAAAAAGAAATCAGCCTCAGGTACTACAAAGCCCATGTAGTTGCTGATTTATAGCTAAAGATTGCACTTGGCGATAAGAGGGAATTCGCATACGAGCGGTACAATTTTGGGGTCGCCTGTGCTAACAACAATTTATCTGCATCTGGTAAAGACCCACGTAGACTCGAATGTTAAGTGGAGATGTCACTGGTTAATATCAGTTTGGTAGATCGCGAAAAGGTCAACCATACTCAAGACTGGTAGAGGGTTGTGAGGTGTTTGTTGGTAGGCAATAAGACAATAGAATGAATCAGTGAGTTGTGAAACCACAGTGTCAAATTCAGTACAGAACTAATCTCTGTCCCTCCTGTAAGGTCTAGGGAAGCCCCCTCTAAATAGGGGGCCCCGATATCGTATATATAATTAGTGATTTATAAGCCTAATGCTTATAATGTAAATAGTAGTTGGTTGTGAAGTCAAAGGGCCGCCGATTTCCCTGATTAATACCCGCGATATCCGAGGTTCGTCATATGCCCTTAAGTCACGTGCGACCCCGCACATATTATAACTATATCCCTCTCTTAGGATCTTGTCCCTAAGATCTATTAATCTATCCTAGTAAATATTTAATTAATTAATTATTTAATTAAGGTAAACTTCTAGTATCTTGGGAGGTAGTTTTACTAATATAATCTGGATAATAGATATAAAAATTATCTAATTAGATTAGGGCTAAGTAAGCAAGAAGGAAGAATAATTATATTCCAGGTATAAGGGCTAGCTAGTAATTACGATTTCGTTTAGGATCTAAATATTCTAATTAGCTTAATCCAAAGTACTAAGGCACTATCTTACGAAATTAATATTACTTATTAGATCTTGTATTAGAATAATCTAAATAGCTATATAGAAAGAATTTAATAAATATTTATATAAGAAACCTATATAAATATTTCTGAGGTCCTAGAAATTATTTACGGGCTTCTGGGAGCATATATTAATTAGTTATACTAATTTCTAATTAGAACTAGTATAAAAACTAGTAGTTAATTCAGGTAGTTCTTTACTTTTATAAAAGGATCTTTTTATATTACTATATACTTTCTTTCTTTCTAATAATTATATATATAATAACTTTTCCTATTATTACTTTCTAGCCTTTTCTTTTACTCTTTTCTAAGTCTTCTTTAATTATTTTTAATTAATTCTATAATATCTTCTTCTAGCTTTATTATCCATTTATATAATAATAAGTATAAAAGTAACCTTATAGCCTTTTTTCCTATTACTAGCAGATACTTGAAATATTTTAAGTATTTGCTTATTAATTTCTTTACTTTATATGCCATAGTACCTAGTAAGAAGAATTATAACTATTATAATAAGAATTCTAAGTTTTATATATTAGTAAGTTCTTTAGCTTTAATATTTATTAAAGCTAATATAATTTCAGATTTCTTACTACTTATTAGAGGCTTACTAGTTCTAGAAAGATACTATTATAATTTTTAAGAAATTTCTTAAAGTATATCCTAAATAGTATTATACTAACGAGAATAATATTATTAATTAGGTTTTTAAAGACTAGAAAAATACTAATAAGCTTTGGAATTCTTCTTTCTGTCTTAATAAGGCAGATAATAATACTATTTAAATTAGTATCCTAAAAATAAGTTTTTTTTAATATATTTAGATACTTACTAATTCCTTAAAGAAATACTATAATATTTACCTTTAAGATATTAACCTTATTACCGAGTTTATTACTAAAATTACTAAGTAGTTTATTACTAATACTTCAAGTACTAATAATATAATATTTATAGCTATTTAGGACCTAACTTTAGAAATTTAGGCCTTTTATAAAATATATATAACTATTATAAGTTCCTTACTTACTTCTCTTAATATTCTTAATACTAATATTATTATAGTATAACTATATCCCGTTAAGAAATAAGCGAATTCCAGAAAATATTAGCTAATTCTTTACTAAGTCCTAAATAGGGCTAGTATTTAGTATTCTTATTTTAGGAATTAGGAATTTATAGGAATTAGAATTTATTTATTTAAAATACCTATAACTAGTTTACCTATAATAAATCTTTCTTAATCCTAAATCTTTTTCTAATAATTTAAATATAATTCTTATAAGCTTTAATAAAACCCTAGAAAACCTTTATAAATAAAAAAACCTAGAGAAAAAGTATTTTTATTATTATTTCGGGCCTTTTTTTTTAGCTATTTAGGTTCTTTTCTTTTTTTAAGTAGCCTTTTTCTTAGTAGTCTAGAATTCTTTTTAATTTTAAGAGATTATTAAAAAGTAATTTTAAATTCTAAGCTATAGTTTTAGTTATATAATTTTAGAAGTTTCTTAGAATTTTTAAGATTAGAAAAAGCAAGTAACTAGATATTATAATCTTTAGGCCAGGCTTTCTATTTAATTAAATACTATTACTTCTTACTTCTATTATTTTATTAGTAATTAATAATAGCTTTTATTTCCTATTCTTATTTTTTATTATTATTTACTAATTCCGGAAGTTCTTTAGAAAGATATAGGTATAGCTTCTAATTCTTTTTTATTATATACTTTTTAAGAAAGAAAATATAAAAAGTTAGATATAAATAATTATATATATTTAATAGTTTTAACTTATATACTAAATTACTAATATATTTAAGGATCCTAAATAGACCTATAAATTTTAGCTTAAGCTTTCCTGTCTTAAGTTTAATATTCTTTATTAATAGTATTATTTAGGCTCCTTTAAAGTAGTATTTAGCTAACTAGTATTTATTATAATAGGTTTCCCGGTTATTTTATATATAATACTATAAATTCTCGAGCTTTCTTTACTTTATTTTAAGGGTTTCTAGTTTCCTATATATAACTAGTACTTTCCCTATAATTCTATTCTTAGGATTTTATAGAAATTAAAGGTAATATCTATAATATATATAGAAAGATATATTTTATAAAATCTAATATTTTAAATTATTATATATAAATTCCGTAAAAAATAACTTCTTAAACTAATTATTTTTTTAAGTATTATAATAATATTTCAGGTAGTATTTCAGGGCCTGGTTTTGCCTTTTTATCTAATTATTTATCTAAGAATAATAAGCTATACTTAAATACTATTTATATATTAAATAAAAGTAGAAAGTAAACTAGAACTAGCTAGTAAATACTATTTCTTAATTAGAAATAATTCTATTAGAAAAGCTAAAGATTAAGAAAATATATTCTTATATAATCTTACTAAGCTTCGGAAAATTAATAGTCTTATAATATATAATATATCTTGCTATTTTAGAGTACTAATTAATAATTATAAGAATTATATTAAAATCGGGACCTCTTACTAGGTTCTTATATAATAGTAAACCTATAATAAAATCTATAAAGATTTTATCCTAAAGTCTTTTAGGCTATAGTAAACTACTAAGTAGGCTATATAGCAAATACCTCTTTGCCTTAACTTTCTAGTAAATATTATATTCTTAATAATAATTATAAATATCTTCTTTTATATTCTCCTAATACTAGAACTTTCTAAGAAGCTCGAGAGTTTTCTTTATTTTATAATATCTTATTATTAGGTTATTATAATAAAGCTTTATAACTTCTTAATATAAAGCGGGATTATTAGATATAATAATTCTGAAATAGTACCTAAATAGGCCCGAATTATTTTTCTAGATTTCTTTTCCCTTAGTATCTTTCTTATTAAGTCTTTATTTTATAATATTCTAATATTAAGAATTATTTCTCTAAGCTATCTAGATAATATCTAGAAGAAATTCAGATAAAGAGGCTAGTATTATAGCTTTTTTAGTAGCCGTATATATCTATATATAGGAAATTAGATATTTATAACTATTTAATTTAAAAACTCGAGAAACCGAAA